GTTATTATTCAACTAACTGTCAAGCTCACGGCGGCCAACATTATCAGCCGATGTCGATAATATATGAGTTGAATTTGATATCATATTATAATATGCATTTATAATTTATATGATCTATTCAGAATGATACTATTAAGTTTTGATACTCATTTTTAGGTGTTAATTACATTTTTTTTTCTTTATTCGTCCTGTATTCATATTTTTGCCAAAAGTTTGCTATTGTACAATAAAAATCATTCCCGTGTTACACAAAATACGTAGGTACACCAGTTGTGTACACAATTGATTGTTTAAAAACTTTGTTAAGTGTACGAAAAAAAAATATACTGGGGTATTTTCAATAAAACAATATATATCTATATCGGTTGGCTTACAATATCTGTGGACGGCGCATTGTTTTTTTCTAAGTGTTTTGTATAGAACTTATAAACCATTTTAACACGTATAACACAATGACGTTTGTTTATTTTATTGCGCTCATCGTTTTAAGGTCAGCTCCAGGTATGTAGAATATTTCATATCCGTCTACATAAATAATTGTCTTCTTATAATCGAAGTATTTCATCTTAAGCGGCAAGTTCTGAACACAATAATTATGATAATTATCGTAGTTAGATATTGCTTAACAAGTTTATAGTAAGGTTTTCAAACTCTGTCCCAAACTATAATTTTTATTTTTAACAAATTTTAAAAATGCTTAACCAAACGGCTGGATGCTAAGTCATGTCGTAAATAAACTATTTAAATTCGTTTGCAAAATGTGTTTTATTTTTTAGCATTTTCTAATCCTACCGGTTATGCATCGTCTTCCTCTAATCCACCCGGTTCTGAGCAAATCGATCACGTTCCCTCTTTGGTCAACGACATTAGCAATTTGTATGAAAATGAAAAGTATGTGTTATATTACGACATTTTATAATATAAATATATAATAATTTATAAGATTCAATAGGTAATAGACTGGTGGTTTTTATTTATTCAGAACATTACATTTTATTTAATAGTTACAACTTTACGTATGTGTGCCGAGAGTTATTTAACAATATATGATATTGTATGATAACACTGTAACAGTGTTGCCTACTATAACATACCCTCTAAAAAAAAAAGAATAAAATCTAGTAAATAAAAAAGATACAAATACTCAAAACATAAATCTTATTAACAATTAATATAAATAAATATCTCTTAAGTTTTACTATTTTCTAATCATGTCTGTTTTACTACCTCATGCTGTTTAAGAACAGCTATAGGAGAATTTGAATAATTAGTTTGCTTACTGCAACTATCATCTAATGGCATCATTATTTTCAGTAGAGTTACAAGGACAAGTGAATTAACTAATTCTATAGGAATCGTTACCTTTTTTATTACTTTAGATTTGCACATATTGTTTAGTTATTCAATTAGTTGATTATAAAAGAAAAAGTTATTAATCTTGAAGCGTCTGTTATGGGTTGGACATAGTGATCAATATGTATATGAATAGAACGCTGTCTAGGCCTAAGTTTTGTTTAATATGTAGCCACTTATTATGATGACCAATTATTAAGGCAACTTTAATTAGACTCTCCTGAAGCTTGTCAAATTCACATAACATGCTCTTAATAATTTTAGTGACGGTTCCCCAATAAAATTAAGGAAAGATTTCTGTATTCACTCGCTAGACACAAATAATGACTTTTAACATCAACATCATTGATTATACTTAAACAGCTATCGCTGAAACACTACCTTCAATAAGGATAACAAATACATATACTTTATCAAAATGATATATTAAATATACAAAAAAACAAAACCGGTTTTTAACAAAACTTTTTTTTTTTTAACTGCTCTGTATAATTTGTAAAGATAGGATATTATACATAAATCAATATTCATGTTTAGTATTCATAAGTATATTAATTATCTAATTTAATATTTATTTTAGGTATTCTGATGTTGTTTTAGTTGTAGATGAAAAACGATTTCATGCCCATCGTAGTGTGTTAGCATCACGCAGTGATTATTTCAGGTAATAAAATCTTATCAATTAGTATAGTATTCTCTTAGTATTAATACCCTAATAAGCACAACACATACAAATTTGTCAATATTATTTTTTTAAATAGCGAATATAATGCATTTTTGTACTTATATTGTGTATATTTTTTAGCGCATTGCTGTTTGGAGATCATAAAGATTCCCGTCTAAAGGAGGTGCCAATAAAAGAAGGATCAGCAACCTCAGTCAATGTTCTTCTTAAATATATATATTCTGGTAGAGTGGATTTAAGTACTCTAGAGGTAAATTAAAGTCGACTTAAATGACCGGTATTTAAAGACCAAAAAAGTACCATTTTTCAGGTTGTGCGTTTTTTTAAGGATCGTTCGGTCAATCGGTTGTAATTTATGTGTTAAATTGAAGAAAAAAAATATTATTCAGAAAACAATTGTCCAAATACACATGTTTTTTTAAAATTTTTAGAGTAAAGTTATTGTGGAATTATTAATTCTCTCGAATGTATATCGTTTTTCAAACTTACAATTTTCACTGTCCGAGTATTTACTGAGTAAAATCGATGAACACAATGCAAGTTCGTTGTTTGTTGTGGCACTTTACTATCAAATCAAAGAACTCGAAATCGAATCACTCAATTTTATCGACATTCATGCTTTGGACGTATTGCAATCTGAAGATTCGCTTTCTTTGACGCCCGTAAAGATATTTGCATATTAAATATCAGTATTTCTCGTGTTAGGTAACCAGTGGTGACAGAATAATTTTTTTTTTAGGAAGCATTACTTCTAATTCTCAATCGTGACATGGTGTATGCTAATGATTTGGATATATTCCGTGCGGTTTGTCGCTGGATAAAAAAAAAAAAAGACGAAATTGATGCTGAAGCTAAAACCAAAATTTTATCAGCTGTCAGATATCAGCTTATGGATGATGAAGAACTGTCCGAAGTTAGGCGATCAGAGCTGGTTAGTTCGGATTCGAGTATTTTGGATGTCATAAAATTGAGTATAGAGTCCCTCCCACAAGAATTTAAAGATCAAGGACGACTAGGTAAGCCTATTCCTTTATTTATTAAATTATGTTAGTACCAACTACTATATTCTTTAGAACCTAATGTGAATTTCGCTGAAGACACGCCCAAAAAGCTTTGCCAAATTGATGGCGGTACCATGATCACGTTAGATCATCCATCGAAAATAAACTATATTGAAATGGAGTTAAGCGACAAACAAGCAAAGTATGGTGCACTTATCAATATTTTTAATCAAAGATTTAATATAATTTTAATTTAATACAAATTTGAACTAAAAAATATTTTTATCACAAATAATATCATACAATAATAATAGTTTTGATAATTCAAGAATTAAATTTATTCTCAAATAAAATACGGGTTTTTTATCCATAATCAAAAACATGTTGTTTAAGCATCGAACTATTTAAAAATAATTGCCCTTTTATAACTTTGTTTATAAAAAATTACACGACCGTTCATTTGATCGAATTATTTGATTATTTAGATCTTACACTTATTACATTCAAGTATCGATGGATAGCCACAATTGGTTGCGTGTAATAGATCATTCAAATTATCATTGTCGGTCAATTCAACGTTTGTGGATTATCCGAAGATTTGTTAGGTACATCCGTATTGTTGGCACCAATAATACTAGTAATAAGAGTTTTAATTTTTTGAAAGTCATGTACAATACGGAAAAATTGCACTGGGTGGAAATCAAAAACGGATTAGTGGGTAAGGACAATACTCACTCATTCCTTGATTAATATAAAACAAAAACATATTTTTCTAATGTACTGATTTAAATCCTATTAGCACCAAAGTACAATGTTACTTTAACATCTATGGATTGGGCCATAGTCATCAGACAACCAGATTGTTTACAAATTCAACTCGCCCAACCGTATATGCTTAGTTCAATGAGGTAATCGCTTAAATAACATTTAACATATACTTTGGTTTCTATTGTTTGTTTGTTATATTGTTTGCGCCTGGAATACAACTTTTAATTTTTTTAAAAAGAATTTATGTTCGACTCTGGCAATAAGATCAGGAGTATTATAATTATTTATAGGATACTGCTTAATCATGGCGAAAGCCGAGCCTGTGGTTACACTATTCATGTTTCGGTCAATGATGAAGATTGGGATATTATTGTAGATAAATCTAAGGAGTCGACCCTATCGTGGCAGTTGTTAAAATTTGATCCAAGACCGATAGTGTATATACGTGTTACTGCCGTTCGCACTTCAGAAAATGACAAAGTAATAAAAATAATCTAATAGTGTTGTTTTAAACTGTTTAAAAAATTGTTTTTTTTAGCTGTTTAAACGTATAGCTTTGTTGGCACCTGCTGGAGTAGATTTTAACGCTATCCCAGAACAGTAGTGGTCGATACCGCAGCTCATACGTCCTCAATAGCGCCATCACTCGCACGAAGGCCTACTTCTATACGGATCTATTAGATTTTTTTTACATTTTGTGATATGTTACAATAATTTTTTTCTGCTTAATAAATATATATAACATTCAAATTACTGGTCACATAAAACTTATGTCTATATATTATTTTATAAACATATCAGTATTGGTTCACGAATGTCTGTAATTAAGCAAATTTTTTTTTCCAACTCATTTAAGATATTGGATCGTATGTATTACATTCTTCTAGTAGTGAAGATATTTAAAATAGGTATGCTTATACATCGTTCTCCATTTCATTGATTTTCTAAAAATTGAAATTCTGTTTAATTGGTTAATATGTTTTTTACTTGAATGTGTCCTATATTCGTATTTTCGCGGTTTTTAAGTTTGCTATTGTATGATAAAATTCATTCCCGCGTTGCACAAAATACTTACACCACTTGTGTACACAATTATTTGTTTAAAAACTTTGTTAAGTGTACGAAAAAAAATATACTGGGGTATTTTCAATAAAACAATATACATATCGGTTGGTTTACAATATCTGTGGACGGCGCATTGTTTTTTTCTAAGTGTTTTGTATAGAATTCATAAACCATATTAACACGTATAACACAATGATGTTTGTTTATTTTATGGCGCTCATCGTTTTAAAGTCAGCTCCAGGTATGTAATATATTTCATATGGGTCTACATAAATAATCGTCTTCTTATAATCGTAGTATTTAACCTTAAGCGGCTAGTTCTGCACACAATAATTATGAAAATTATCTAAAACTAGCTCACTAAACGATGGCCCAATAAGTATTTAATTTAATATTCACAAACCTTCTTGCTGACAAGTTATAATGTCTAAGATAAGCTCTAAAAAAAATCTTGTGGAGTCTCATTAGATAATTTTTAACAAGTTTCTTAGAAGGTTTTCAAACTCTGTTCTTAATTTTATATTGAGTGCTAAAATTGTTAGATTATTTTACAATTATAAAACTATAATACAATTGCGCAGTAAAACTATAATTTCTATTTTATTTAAACAATTAAAAAAATACTTAATCAAAAGGCTGGATGCTAAGTCATGTCGTAAATAAACTATTCATATTCGTTTGCAAAATATGTTTTATTTTTCAGCAATTTCTAATCCTACCGGGTCTTCCTCCAATCCGCCAGGTTCTGAGCAAATCGACCACGTTCACTTTTTGGTCAATGACATTAGCAATTTGTATGAAAATGAAAAGTATGTGTTTTATTACGACATTTTATTATATATATATATAATAATATATAAGATTCAATAGGTAAAAAAGACTGGTGGTTTTTATTTATTCAGAACATTACATTTTATTTAATAGTTACAACTTTACGTGTGTGTACCGAGAGTTATATATATATATATATATTTATGATATTGTATGATAACACTGTAACAGTGTTGCCTACTTTAACATGCCCTCTAAAAAAATAAAAAAGAATACAATCTAGTAAATTAAAATAATTCTCATAAACAAAACATTCTAGACATAAAATATAATATTATCACATATAAAAACAAATAAGGTAATAAAATAAAACATATTAATGAAGAACAAGAAAAAGATAAAAGATACAAATATTCAAATCATAAAAATTATCAACAATTAACATAAATATCTTTTAAGTTTTACTATTTTCTTACCATGTCTAATTACTACCTTTTGCTGTTTAAGAACTATAGAAGAAATTGAATAATTAGTTTGCTAACTGCGACTATCATCTAATGGCATCATTATTTTTCAGTAGAGTTACAAGGACAAGTGAATTAACTCATTCTATAGGAATCGTTACCTTATTATTACTTTAGATTTACACATATGATTTAGTTCTTCCACTAGTTGATTATATAAAGTAAAAGTTTTTTATCTTGGAGCGAATATTATACATAGATCATTATTCATGTTTAGTCTTCATAAGTGTATTAATTATATATTTCAATATTTTTTTTTAGGTATTCTGATGTTGTTTTAGTTGTAGATAAAAAACGATTTCACGCCCATCGTATTGTGTTAGCCTCACGCAGTGATTATTTCAGGTAATTAAATCTTCTCATTTAGTATATTATTCTCTCAGTAATAATACCTTTATAAGCATAACATATACAAATGTGTCAATTATATTTTTCTAAATAGTTTTGTTATTTTTTTCATCAATTTTCTAATTACCTAGCCTTAGTGTTTTTGAAAAAAAACACATGGGCATTGGGTGGCTTTAGATTTTTTATGTTTTGTAAAAGTCATACAAAAGAAAAGGTATAATGTTTAGTTTACTTGTCTAATATTAAATTAATCATATAAACCGTTTATTGTTAACCAATAGGTATAGTAAGTGTTTAAACTGATCGTATTACTTATTTTATAGCTGATCAATATGATCTAACCAACTCAGATTAAACGAGAGTAAATTTTAAATGAGAGTTAGTGTGAAACCACCCTTGTTGTATCTCATTCAATGTGTCTTACTGGTTGTAGCGAATATAATGAATTTTTGTACTTATATTGTGTATATTTTTTAGCGCATTGCTGTTTGGAGATCATAAAGATTCCCGTCTAAAGGAGGTGCCAATAAAAGAAGGATCAGCAACCTCAGTCAAAGTTCTTCTTAAATATATTTATTCTGGTAGAGTGGATTTAAGTACTCTACAGGTAAATTATAGTCGACTTAGATGACCGGTATTTAAAGACCAAAAAAGTACCTTTTTCAAGGTTGTGCGTTTTTTTAAGGATCGTTCGGTCAATCGGTTGTAATTTATGTGTTAAATTGAAGAAAAAAAATATTATTCAGAAAACGATTGTCCAAATACACATGTTTTATTAAAAATTTTAGAGTAAAGTTATTGTGGAATTATTAATTCTCTCGAATGTATATCGCTTTTCAAACTTACAATTTTCACTGTCCGAGTATTTACTGAGTAAAATCGATGAACACAATGCAAGTTCGTTGTTTGTTGTGGCACTTTACTATCAAATCAAAGAACTCGAAATCGAATCACTCAATTTTATCGACATTCATGCTTTGGACGTATTGCAATCTGAAGATTCTCTTTCTTTGACGCCCGTAACGATATTTCCATAATAAATATCAGTATTTCTCGTGTTAGGTAACCAGTTGTGACAGAATTTTTTTTTTTTAGGAAGCATTACTTCTAATTCTCAATCGTGACACGGCGTATGCTAACGAATTGGATATATTCCGTGCGGTATGTCGCTGGATAAAAAAAAAAAAAAGACGAAATTGATGCTGAAGCTAAAACCAAAATTTTATCTGCAGTCAGATATCAGCTTATGGAAGATGAAGAACTGTCAGAAGTTAGGCGATCAGAGCTGGTTAGTTCGGATTCGAGTATTTTGGATGTCATAAAATTGAGTATAGAGTCCCTCCCACAAGAATTTAAAGATCAAGGACGACTAGGTAAGCCTATTCCTTTATTTAGCAAATTATGTTAGTACCAACTACTATATTCTTTAGAACCTAATGTGAATTTCGCTGGAGATACACCCAAAGAGCATTTTCAAATTGATGGCGGTACCATGATCATGTTGAATCATCCATCGAATATAAACTATATTGAAATGGAGTTAAGCGACAAACAAGCAAAGTATGGTGCACTTATCAATATTTTTAATCAAAGATTTAATATAATTTTAATTTAATACAAATTTGAACTAAAAAATATTTTTATCACAAATAATATCATACAATAATAATAGTTTTGATTATTCGCGAATTTAATTTATTCCTAATAATTGCCCTTTTATAACGTTGTTTAAAAAAAATTACACGACCGTTCATTTGATCGAATTATTTGATTATTTAGATCTTACACTTATTACATTCAAGTATCGATGGATAGCCACAATTGGTTGCGTGTAATAGATCATTCAAATTATCATTGTCGGTCAATTCAACGTTTGTGGATTATCCGAAGATTTGTTAGGTACATCCGTATTGTTGGCACCAGTAATACTAGTAATAAGAGTTTTAACTTTTTGAAAGTCATGTACAATACGGAAAAATTGCACTTGGTGGAAATCAAAAACGGATTAGTGGGTAAGGACAATACTCACTCATTCCTTGATTAATATAAAACAAAAACATATTTTTCTAATGTACTGATTGAAATCCTATTAGCACCAAAGTACAATGTTACTTTACCATCTATGGATTGGGCCATAGTCATCAGACAACCAGATTGTTTACAAATTCAACTCGCCCAACCGTATATGCTTAGTTCAATGAGGTAATCGCTTAAATAACATTTAACATGTACTTTGGTTTCTATTATTTAATTGTCATATTGTTTACGCTTGGAACACAACTTTTTATTATTTGAAAAATAATTTATGGTTGACTCTGGCAATAACATCAGGATTATATGAGTATTAAAATTATTTATAGGATGCTACTTAATGATGGCGAAGGCCGAGCCTGTGGTTACACTATACATGTTTCGGTCAATGATAAAGATTGGGAAATTATTGTGGATAAATCTAAGAAGTCGGCTCGTTCGTGGCAGTTGTTGAAATTTGATCCCAGACCGATAGTGTATATACGTGTTACTGCCGTTCTAACTTCAAAAAAAGACGAAGTAGTATAATTAATCTAATAGTGTTTTTTTTAAACCGTTTTAAAAACTTTTTTTTTTGTAGCTGTTTGAACGTATAACATTAGTGGCACCTATTGAAGTAGATTTCAACGCCGGCCCAAAACAGTCGTGGTCGATATCACGGTTTTTGCGTCGTTAATAGTGCCATCACTCGCCCGAAGGCCAATTTCTGTACGGATCTAATGGGATTTTTTTACATATTATTATATGTTACTATAATTTTTTTCTGCTTAATAAATATATATAACATTCAAATTAATGGTCACATACAACTAATGTCTATATGTTATTTTATAAGCATATCAACATTGGATCACTCTAATTAAACAAAATATTTTTCCCAACTCATATAATTATTATCTTCTTCTAGTAGTGAACACATTTGACAAGAAAGTTGGCTACGAGTTCCGTTAGTAGACTTTTAAGTCGATTTTCGAACGAATATCATACCGTGCTTATGCGGAATGTCGTCAGTCCTTTTATACAATCAAATATGCATGGATCATTCCTATAAACGCTATTATAATTTTAAATTATAATAAAATATTATACATATACTTTTGAACATCTCTTATGGACCATGCTATTATACAACAAAGAATTAAGTATTCCTACTAGGTATTTATGTGTATAGATTAATGAAATTCCAATTTCTTAATCTCCGGCCATTTTATTTAAGTAGGACACGTTAATCCTAACTTAATATGTCTAAATAAAATGCCATAAAAAGCATAAATGTGGAAAAACATGTAATTCAATTAATTATTATACTAAATTTAACAATAAAAATAGTAAAAGAACTCGAAAGAAAGAATAATTAACATAAATAAAAATTATATTATTATATCTGGCCCTCCCTACTAGCCCTCAAGGAATACATCTAATTGATCTGTTCATAAAAACGATTTATATTAAATTAAATATTGGCATAATCATATTATGACAAGGTTAAGTTGGTTGACTGGGCCTGGAGAAAATTTGAAAAAATGTACTTTTTTATAAAAAAAAGAATTGTTGACATCATTTTTATAAATTTGTTTTATTCCTCCACGCAATTATTCTTAAAATCTCATTGACTTTGTATACTGTAATCGGTAGCTCTATGTGAAATTTGTGATTGAATAATATTTGTTTATTATATTGACCGGCCAATATATTCTAAGTTGCTAAGTAATTTACCTATACATTTTCTTATTTGATTTAGTCAAAACTCTCACTCAGACGGCATTTTTAACACCCACTGTACGTTTTGGAAAAGTCATTCGAAAAAATTGTGAACACTAACATTATGTCTTTATATATATATATAAATATTTCTTCTGTCATTGTGTAAGTATTCAAACTCCTAATTGGCTGGACAGATTTTTTGTTTCTTGTGTGCTTTTATGTTTGAAGCTTTGTCATGCGACACTCAATGCTTATTTGATGTATAATATATACTTATGTTTGCTTTTTTTTTTTTAGAATTGACCATCCACAAAATGCTACAAAAAGACAACGGCCAAAGTGATATTTTCCCTTTTTTTGCTAACCAAAAAATGCTCATAAACTATTTTTCTTAAAATGGGTAAATATTGGTGAAGTTTTTCGAGTTTAAAGTCTGAAAATTAGTCCATAGATAAATCTTAAATGTACAATTTTATCAAAAATCTGTTTTTTAGGCAAGCTACACGTGCAACCAAATGTGGAACGAAGTGACTTGAAATACAATGTGGTCGTTTGTACCATGATTGTGTATTATGGAAAACAAAGTCGTTAAAATTTAATGTATATAATGTAATTTTAATTTCAATATAATAATCGATTTAATGTTTCTAGTTTTTTTATATTTTTACATACCTAAGTGTCATAATTACTATAAGAGTGGGTTGTATAGGCCTACAGCCATAGTTTATAATTATTGTTATTATTTTAAAAATCGACAGCCAAAAGGCATCTACATAAAAGGTATACTGTATATTACTGCTTCATTTGTATATTTTTTTGAACTGAATAAATCAAAGTGGCAAATTAAGCTTGACATAATGGAACCTGGAAAACATACTGACAAAAAATTAGTTTAAACATCAATTATTATATTTGAATGACGATTGATAATAGCATATACCTGTGCTGTTACAAACATTTTAGATATTTTTTTTTTTTTTTTATTAATCGAAGAGAAAAATATATACATAAATTATTATAAAAGTTAACATTTTCGATTATCTATCTCCTTTAAGCTAAGCTTGTGTTGGAGATAGAGAGTTATTGAAATATAATATGATTATTAACAAAATAAATGAATTAAATTACAATTTTATAGATTTAAAATAATATTCTAAATACATATAAAACTAAAATAATAATTATACATGATAAAAGAAGACAAAAAAAAACAAAACAACGTTATATCCAACGTTTTTTTTCTGTTATTTTTATTTTTACTATTCCAATTGTATAATTTAAACGTACATGAATGATATTATTATAAGAATATGTAACTTTAAACTTGTATTATGAATTGTGCTGTTCTTAAAGTAAGATAACCTTGTGCTGATGCTATCCTATTAGTTTTTATTATAAAATATAAATGAATTTAAGTATTTATACTTTTTAAAAAAACTGTACGATTAACAAATTCTAAATTTATTAAAAAAAATAGACTTTAATTTAAATAATCTGTAATAATTGTTTAAAAATAATGTATACAAATATTTTTATATATTTTTTATTGAAATAATTCGCATCGGTTACCGACGAATTTTTGGAGATTTATTATTGTTCTAGTCAAAACAATTTGGGGACACCCGTAGCCACTCCTCGCCCTTCCGTCTGTCTATGCTCTGGCGCCGAAGTGGTGGCTTTTATTTTTTGTTTTGGTTATGAAGATGATATAATATACAGAGTGTGCCAAACACACATTGACAACCAAACATTTTTGGGTCTTTTTGTGCACGTTCTGTATACCATTATTAGATATTTCGTATCTTGTACGTGCGTTATTTTTTTAATCTTCTGTCCCTCACTATGTACATATATTTATATAAATACTAACAACAAAAAAGGCGAGAATTATTAATAAATTAAAAAAAAAAAAACTGAAACCAAAAATCCACATCTACCTAATTCGTTTTCATAGTTCATTCGTATTTTTCTCAAGATCCCGAATACATCTCGCACATACGCCTCATTCCAATTTTTTGAAAATGGAATTTGAAATTGTTGATGGGTTTCAAAAAAAAACAGCAAACTGAACCACGTCAATGACGGTTTTTTTTATAAAGTTAAAAAAGTTAGACCTTTAACCGTTGACATGTATAAAACCTAACTGCACTGCTAGAGGTATGATTTATTGCTATATATTATTTTAAAAAATTAACCTCAATATTTATTTTTTGTAAACTGATTGTCAATGGAAAAATTAAGTAGTTAGTGATGTAATCGTACTTATTTTACGAATACAAAATAAGGCAGCGTGCCCAGCCATTTAAGTAGGGTTTCGTGTGATTAGATAATAAAGATTCATCCTTAATAAAATCCATACCTGTAAGCTTCTTGAAGTAGATCAAAAACTTATTTATTGATGAATAATATTAAGTTTTAAAATAAATAACAGAGTATCAGTAACAAATATGTAGGTTTAAATTACAATTTACATAATTATTGACATTTCTGATGTGTGTTTTCTTTCACATTAACAAAATAATGATAAGATAAAATGCTAAGTTTGGAACCCTAGTTCCGCAGAACTCACTAACTCATTATAAAAACATAATAAGTTAGTTTCTATTGATTTACCTTTAGTAAAGCCGTGTTGGCTAAAATTTATAACATTCCTAAAAGCAAATGAAAGAAATGGCACTAATAGTTGTTCAAGGATTTAAATAATTAAATCAGTTGTGATTAATGACTTATAACCAAGTAACTTTTATTTAGAAAAAAATATATATATATACAAATTTAGAAGTAAATAAATAACTATAAATGTGGCAATCTTGGCGAGGTTCCGAGTGTTGCCTATAGAAAAAAAAAATTAAAATTATAAGTTAATAAGTAAAATGCTGTTTTTTATAATACATATATATTTAATAATAGTTTAAATAATATGTAGCGTATAAAAAAAATATATATATATATAAATAAATATAATATGTTCGCCATTCTGTTAGAGTTGCCGGCTCGAGTTGAATATTACTCACTTATTGAACGCCTAAGAAGGGCCACTTTTTATGCTTAAAAGGAAGCTTACCGATCTGCGGATTTATTCATGCTTTTATTTTCCCACTTTGCTATACCAATTTTATGAAAATATTTATATATATATATACACGTTATATATATCTTGTTAGGCTTGGAATTGATTAACACAAGGATGTTAGAACGAGAATCTGATTGCTTTTCTTTTTAACTAATCCTAATCAATTTTCCAGAAATCTCAGAGTACTCTGTTAAGCTATTTAAATAAATACAATTTGAATCGTAGTTTAGTATTATTTTGTGGTTATTTTATTTTAATCGTCCGGAATAATGACCGAGACATTATATTATATTGAAAATAATTTGTATTAGGACGCTAAACAAATTAATATTCTGAAAATTTTATTATTTCTGCTAAGTTAGAACGGATGGGCAAATAGCCTCCTTACACTTATGACAGATTTTATTATAAGGCAATTTCTAGCAGAACATAAAAAACCAACCAATTCATTGGATAAATTTTAGATATACTCGATTGAGATAATCATAAAATTATAAGTCCATTAATAGGAAAGGTGTTGAACATGGCACTAAACAATAAAAATATTAATTTGGGTGTTTCACGGAAACAGTCCTTAATCGCGGTAACATGTAATTCAAACGTTAACTCCAGTGATCTAAATTAACGATAAAAATAATAATCAAGGTGTCTTGAAAAAAAAAAAATATATTTTTTGTTATACAAAAATAATAATGTATTTAATATGCAATCGGTTTAGTATGCAATAAGTTTTTAATATGCAATCTGTTGAGTAATATTCGTATTACTATATAATATACTAACAATACTAAGTAACTTACTTTTGAATTATTATTATTCTATTGAAAATACCACCATCTGAAATTAAAAAAAAAATAATACATTTTTATTTTATTTTATTACAAATGTACCGGGTGATT